TCGTCATCTGAAAGTGCAGCAGAAATCCCATCATATTTATAATTGTTTGATGAACAGAGGTCCATAATTACTGCAATACAAGACAAAATTGCCAGTGTGCCAAAGTAAATGCTGAAATTGTTTAAATATTCTCTACTTTAATTTTGTAATTTTTAAAATTTCTTTTCAGGTATTCCCTACCAAAAAGGCATACTTTTGAAAAGGTTTCCTCTAACAAATTAACCAAGGCCAACTAAGCAGGTTAATTCACCTTTCATCTGGTTTTTATTTCAAAAGTAATTCCCATTTTTCCTATATTTTCCTATATTTCATATAGGCTTCTTAATGTGTTAAATAAAATATTATAAATCATTGTGATGCCACATTTCACTGGGCCTTGTGCTGAATCCAGAAGTGTTTCCATCTTGGTAAGTTTCCAGTTATCCAGGGCTTTGACATTTGTAGATACTCAGACTGATTTCACAAAAGCAGTTGCTGCACTGTGGGAAATTGAGCAGTACAACTAGGGGAAATGGGAGATCAAGTGCGGAACAGCTGCTTTTGTGGAATCGGTCTCCATCAAACTAAGATTTATTCAGGGCTCTGTTTGTAATGGAGCTAAGGTAAGTATAGAGTAACAGTATAGAGTAAAATTTTTGAATTTTCTAATACCAGCCTTAGGGGAAAACCTAAGAAGATGGGCCATCATAAATTTATCTGCTCTGTTGCCATCTATTACCCCATGCCATCATTCACTCTGTTTCACTCCTAATCACCCTTCCACAGTATTCAGCTCCCAGTTTCCTTCTCTTCTCAATATATACCTTCTCTTTGACAATCTCTGAGCCATTTTAAACAAGCTCCATTCTGTCCCCATCACCTCAAAGGCCTAGAAAACTAGTATTTTCCTTGTTCACTCCCACATGTCTTTTTATCTTTCTTGTATTCAAAAGTACAGCACATAAATATGTGGGTGGGTTCTATTTGAATTAGTCCGGGGTTGGAAACATAGATAACATAACTGCTGTCATTAGCACATGACAGTTGCCTCCAAGAACACCACTCCAGCCAATAACAGTTCTAAAGCATTATTACTGTTTTCTCTCTTGTTCACTCTGTTTTTGTCTCTGATCAATTCCCCATCCCTGTTAATAGCCAAGACAATCAGTCTTATTAAATAAAATAATGTCTTATCATTTATTTTTAATGCTGATAATTTATGTTGTTGCTTTTATTATATTGTTTTTACTGTTAGCCACCTCAGGCAAATTTCTGGAGATGTGCCATATATAATTTCTAATTAAATAAATGAGGTTTACTTATTTAACAAAAATATTGTGTCAATCATACAGACCTAAAAGATCTTTAGATCATTATTGGAAGGTACTGGCAATGGACACCTCTACCTGTAATTTCTGTGTTATGTATTGAAAACTATGTTGAGCTTGAGTCTGAACCAGGATTGTAAATAGAACATTCAGAGCTGTGCAGTGTTCTGGAGGGAAGCACTCTAATTGGACCTTATCTGTAAATAGTTATTGGTTGTTAGCTGACATGTGGGCGTGGCTTTTTAAGCCCAGACTGTTTAAAAGAGAGCCTGTTGCTCTATGTCTTTGTCTCGTTCTGGTTTCTTCTGACTTCGTTAAATAAAGCTGATTCACTGTTCACTAGCTGTGTTGAGTCTCGTACTTAACAGTTGGCGACGAAGGTGGGATTCTAGAGTGGGTAGGCAGCCCTGCTGAAACAACACCAGAATGGTGGATGACCGAAAAGCCCCTGAAGGACCCAGGGCAGAAGAACGAGACCTGGTTGATCAAGCGGCTGCAGCACTAATGCCAGTGCCTGCACCCTGAACAGTGATGGCCAACAACTCGCGGTTCAAAGCATTTGAACCAGACCTCGAGGACTGGAACTCCTACCTGGCCAGGTTCGAGTTCCACCTCCAGGCGAACAAGGTCGATGATGAAGACCAGCAGAAGGCAACGCTCCTCAGTTCCTGTAGTAAAGCTGTATTCGACGTCGCTCGGTCCCTGGTGGCGCCCGCTGAGATCAAGAACATGTCCCTGGCTGACCTGAAGCTGCAGCTGAAGGGATATTTCGCACCGGTACCGTCGCAGATCTCTAGTTAGCATGCATTCTAAAAATGGTCTCAGGCAGCAAACGAGACGATAGCTGAATATGTGTCGGCATTAAGGAAGGCTGCATGCCCGTGCAACTTATCCGACCTGGAGGAAGCGCTCCTCGGCCGGCTCATCTGTGGCATGAAGGACGAGAAGCTGCAGCAGCGGCTGTTCACCCGGCAAGCCCTCACCTACGCTGTGGCCTACTCAGAAGTGGTAGCCGCTGAGACCACGGAGAAGGCAACACTAGAAGTGCGTCAGAACTTGACCCCAAGCCAACAGGGGGCCAGCAAGTCAGTGCACCACAAATCAACAAGCGAGTCCGAAGGTGAGCGTGATGATGTCAACCACTCTCGAACTCTGAGGGCCAAGCGGACCCCAGTGAAAACCACACCAAGGTGGGCCTGTCCCGGATGCGACGGAGACCACGAGCGGGATCGCTGCTGGGCGAAGGACATCGTTTGCTGATCCTGTGACAAGCGGGGCCATTTGGCCAAGGTTTGCAGGTCAAGAAAGAAGAGGACACCACTGTCGTCTCTTCATGCACGTCCCCAGGTTGCAACCAGGACGGCGCTAGATCTACAGATTGCCATCTGACCAACTGCTGTTCCTGCCCATCGACCATCCTAAAGACCGGATCACGATCTAGGAAGAAGATCCACATCACTGTCCTACTGAATGGCATACTGTGTGAGATGGAGGTTGACTCGGGATCAGCCGTGACCGTCATCTCAACAGAAACGTTGCAGCAATTGTTTCCGCGTTGGAGTTGTCGGCGTTTGAAGCTGAGCAGCATTCACCTCTCCGATTTTCAGGGGAGATGCATTCCTGTGGCTGGGGAAGCCATGTTTGAGGTACAATTGAAGGGGTTCTGAGAGTCACTGAGCCTCCTTGTTGCCGAGGAGCACCGAGCCAGCCTTTTGGGATTGGACTGGTTCAAGGCCCTTGGAATTGCTATTAGCAGAATTAACCAGGTCAGCGCGAATAAATTGAATGCACTGTATACTGAATTTGCTGATGTATTTGATGGTACGTTGGGAATGTATAGAGGGCTGCCGGTAACCTTTGAGTTAGATCCTGCAGTAGCGCCTATACGGCTAAAGTATTGAAAGGTGCCCCTTTCCATGAAACCATGAATTGAGGCCGAGTTACACAAACTTGTGGCCCAAGGTGTGTTAGAACTAGTATCACATGCCAGATGGGAGACCCCTATTGTGACACCAATTAAGCCTGATGGGTCAGTAAGAATCTGTGCTGATTATAAGTGCATGATAAACAAAGCACTACAGCAACGCTCATACCCTGTACCAGTCATTAGCCATGTGCTAGCGTCTTTGGGAGAAGGTAAAGTCTTTGCCAAGTTAGATCTAGCTTAGGCTTACCAACAACTTCTAGACCCCCAAGCTGCTATAGCACAAACAGTCATTATGCACAGAGGTACATTTAAAGTGAACAGGTTGCAATTTGGGGTAAACGTTGCCCCATGTATTTTTCAACGCTTAATGGAAGGATTGTTGAGGGACCTGCCTTGGGTAGTCCCGTATTTTGATGATGTTTTGATCGCCGGAAAAAACGAAGACGAACTGACGGAGCGCATTAGGGCTATATTGGGCCATTTCCAAGCGGCAGGGTTAAAAGTAAAGAAATTGAAGTGCCACTTGGGAGTGCCCAAAGTGGAATTTTGGGGGTTCTTAATCGATGCTGATGGGGTATACCCTACAATGGGTAAAGTGCAAGCTATCAGAAATGCTCCAAGACCAGAGTCCAAGAAGGAACTGCAATCCTTCTTGAGCATTTTGAATTTTTACAACACATTCCTGCCACATAAGACTTCTATTGCAGAACCCTTACATAAGCTGCTTACCAAGGGGGCTAAGTGGGAGTGGGGCCCACAGCACGACCGTGCATTCAATGCCATAAAGACTCTGTTATCGTCTGACGCTGTATTGACACACTATGATGAGGCTAAGCAGCTGGTGTTGGCCGCGGATGCTTCTCCTTATGGAGTGGGGGCTGTGTTGAGCCATGTGATGGCTGACGGCAGAGAAGTGCCCATCGCGTATAACTCTCGGACGCTCACCACTGCTGAGAGGAATTATGCGCAAATAGACAAAGAGGGCTTGGCGCTTGTGGCTGGCGCGAAGAAATTTCACGATTTTCTATATGGCAGACCTTTTGTGCTGGTCACTGACCATAAGCCCCTCCTGGGAATTTTCACGCTAGACTGCCAGACACCCAACATCTTGTTGGCCAGGATGTTGCACTGGACAGTGTTCTTGTCAGCATATGACTATGTACTGGAGCATTGGCCTGGCAAGAACATGGGGCATGCTGACACCCTCAGCCGCTGTCCCCTGCCTGAACTGGACTCTGACCCTGCACCGGCGTTCGAGGTGATGGCCCTCAAGGAACTGGCCAAACCTCCGGTGCACGCGTTGGACATTGCAACTGCTTCGGCCAAGGACTCCACAATCGCCAGGGTGCTCAACTGGGTGTGGAGGCGGTGGCCGGTGGGGCGTGTCGCTGAGGAATTCAAGCCGTTTGCATCGTGGCAATGTGAACTCTCTGTACACAGGCGATGTTTATTGTGGGGAAACAGGGTGGTAGTTCACCCCAAGCTGAGACCTCAGGTCCTTGAGGCACTGCACAAATGCCACCCCAACATTGTATGAATGAAGGGGTTGGCTCGGGGCTATTTTTGGTGGCCGAAAATTGACTCTGACATCGAGAGTTGGGTGCAAAGTGTCACGAGTGCCAGCTGTCCCAGCCTGATCCACCACAACCCCCAATCCAGCAGTGAGGAAAGAGTCACCAGGCCTGGTCGAGAGTCCACATCAACTTTGCGGGGCCATTTCAAGGGCAAGTGTTCTTAATTGGTTGGAGGTGGTCCCGACCTCCAAAATGACGGCCCATACTGTAATTAATATGCTGCACCGCATTTTCGCAACTCATGGGTTACCAGACACTTTTTTGTCCGACAACGGGACTTGTTTCACCGCCTCTGAGTTTCAAGAGTTTTTGGCGGCAAATCTGATACAGCATAGCATGTCAGCACCATTCCACCCAGCAACTAATGGGCAGGCCAAAAGAATGGTGCGGACCACTAAGGAGACTCTTAGCCGCCTGGTGCAGGGGAACTGGAGCCAAAAGGTGGCATTGTTCCTCCTGCACCAGCATGTCACACTGCACTCAGTGACGGGGCGGAGCCCCACAGAAATGCTTATGGGTCGGCAGCTGACAACTCTCCTTGACCGAATGCACCCGGACCTAACAACATTCAGACCCCCACACAGTGAGTCCACTGACTGGACCAGGGGTTTTGAGGAGGGAGAGTATGTTTATGCAAGGAACTATGCTGGAGGGCATTGTTGGTTGCCGACAACAGTAACCAAGGTACTGGGTTCCCGAACTTACTCTGTAAGATTAGCTGACGGTTGAGTGTTTAAAAGACACATCGACCAGCTAAGGAAAAGGTGGGCTGAGGTAGACCCTGAGCCCAATACTACAGTGGCAGACGTACCCGTTCCAGATGAACGGGTAGAGCTTCCGCTCGGACAACTCCCACGAGGGAGAACCACCCAGTATCACGACTGAACCCAGTTACCCGCCTGAAGACAAGTTTCAGGCAAACTGCCCCCAAGGTATGCTGGAAAACCCTATCAACAGGGAAACGCCAATCAGTCCTCCAGCTGTAACATTACGATGGTCACAACGAAGCAGGTAGACTCCTGCTTATCTCAAAGACTATGTGTGCTCCCAGGTTGTTCCGTCTTAGGGGGGAGGAATTGTTGTGTATTGAAAACTATGTTAAGCTTGAGTCTGAACCAGGATTGTAAATAGAACAATCAGAGCTGCGCAATGTTCTGGAGGGAAGCACTCTGATTGGACCTTATCTGTAAATAGTTATTGGTTGTTAGCTGACATGTGGGTGTGGCTGTTGCTCTATATTTTTGTCTCATTCTGATTTCTTCTGACTTCGTTAAATAAAGCTGATTCACTGTTCACTAGCTGTGTTGAGTCTCGTACTTAACATTCTGTTTCCTGGATACCACTGGGCTGGGCCCAAGGATCCCAGGGGCATGGCAAGAGCAAAGGAGGCAGAGTGGGATCTTGCCTGATACAGAGAAGGCTTAGACTGAGAGGACAGATCCAAGGGACAGCACCTGGTGGTGTGGAAAAGAGGACAGGCAATCCCAGCCTCACTAGGCCTGAGAAATAAAAATAATTTAAAATACAACTGAAACGCTGGAATGTTATCAAGGAAAAAGGAGCAAATAATATGACTTAGGTGACCATATAATTCCCATAACCCAGCTCAGTTCGATCACTTGTTATGCGGCAGGTAAAGGTTGGAGATAGCGATGGTAAGGCCAGGACACAGGCTGGCAAAAGTGGTAAAGCCAGGGCACAGGGACACCCCTTGGTATATGATGCGGCTCCTTAGTCAAATACCTGGTAGAAGAGCTCCGTCTTGTAGGACTTGCAGAACTGTAAGAAGTCCCACAGGACCCTGGTCTCTTCTGGGAGCTCATTCCAACAGAATGGAGTCACCAATGAGAAGGCCCTGGCTCTGGTTGTTGCCAGCCTGGCATCATTGGGGCCTGGAAGGCCAACCGATTTTGTGCCCCTGAACCCAGTGCTCTCCAGGGAATGTGTGGGGAAAGGCGGTCCTTCAGGTATGCCGGACTCTAATTAATTTCATTGAGTGATCTGACTTCTAAAGTTATGGGAAACAGAGGAAAATAAGTTCTTTCTACATACCAGGCATACTTGAGTTTAATATAAAATTTCTCCATCTAAAGGGTTGGATTTAACAGCTTTTATTAAAACTTTTATTTTAACTGAGAACTTTGTACATTCTATTTCTGTCCATGGTAATAAATCCTTGTGTTGCATAACAAAATAATATTACTGTATGCTACTGCCAGCTCTACTTTTTCCATTGTGCTATACAGAATGTGTTCATTAACACTACAGGACTTTTTGTTGTTGTTTGTTTGTTTCCCAGATAACATTTTTAAATAAGTAGTTTGATATACATGTCACTCATTTGGAATCCTTCTTTGGTCATGTGGGTTTTCTGAATAAATTAATACCATTTTATGCATTGCTCTTCTTGGGTGGATCCTATGAGTACTGGATAGTGCTGCTGGGCAGAACGGGGAGGAACTAGTTAGGAACTGGTTAGAATTGTGGGGAACCATCCCCTCCTCTGCCTGCCACCAGGACCCCCACTCACAATTTGCCTCCCAACCACCAACATTCATGCACAAAGGAAAAAGAAAATCAGAAAGAAGAGGAGAGGGCTTGGTGACTTAGCAAATATACAAGCAGCCAAGTGCTTTTTCATGATGTTTGACAATGGATTCCAGATTCCCTCTCCCAGATGTTTGCAGAACTTCTCTTTTCTAAACTGACTGGTTTTTATTAATGACATTTATAATTTCTGCTCCCCAGTTTTGTATTTTTAGGAATCCTTACTTTCCAAGATTCTTGTACCAAGAAGTATACCATGCCAGAACCAATGTGCTGAGAGCCAGTCTATAATAATAAACACTACTCTGCTATCCAAACTTAACATAAAATTATTGCCTAAATCACTTATGCCCAAACTTTTCCTAGGATCCTACAGGACTAAAAAAATCTCTTTCACCACATGTCAATTTGTACTAGTCCTATAGTTCCACTTAGAATGAGTAATGGATGTATACATAATGGAATTTTTGCTGTGTCACACTTAAGAGACTTCTCTCAATGCCTCACTCACTACTGCCACTGGTCCTATAACCCAGCAGATTCAACCCTATAACACTCTGGATTCAGAATTGGCTCCACTCAGTTTTGTCCCTAGTCCAGCCTGCATTTCCTGGCACCACACCTGCATTCTTGAAATTAAAAGTTGGCATCCCCAGCAGAAGTTATGTCACAGTATGTCAAAGGACTACCTCATTTAAAGATATGGTTGAACTATAAAATGAAATGGGTCAATCTGCACATTAGATCAAAATATGTCTGAGAGACCTTTACATTATCAGCTATTACAGCTCTTTAATTACTTTCAACCTTCACTGATAAGTGTTAATCAGTTCAAGGCTACTGCTTCAAGTTTCTAATACAACTTTGTCCTGTTCTTTGCAGAGATTTTGGTCTGGAGGTACAGATGCTTTGTCCAGAAATGGTTAATTAATAGCTTACATAGGTTATTTCAGTTCAATGAATGGGCACTCTTACTGAATATAAAAAGTGGCACTTTCACATCTTCTGAATCACTTTCAGACTTAGGTGTAAACTCTTGTAAATTTACTACAGTTGCTTGAAATGACTGCAATATCAGCATTGCTTTTCATATGGGAAATAGTGGTGATTTTGTGCTGTAATTTGTTATTGGTTCTCGGAATAAGGAGGAGGTAAGGATGATTTTGATGGTCTGAACTTTCCCCATTTGTATCATTATATGTGTATGAATTTTTGAAATTGGTATACTTAATAAAAATAGCCATTGGTAAAAGTAATACTTAAGTTAACTGTAATAACTCACTTTTCAGGTAGACATGCATTAAGAATTAGTAGACAGACCCTTTTAAACCTTGCCACAAATTTCAAGAGATAAATTGCACATAGGAAAAAAAAGTTGTATGTGATCAATTAAATTATATTACTTGGAATTTTAGGATTTTCAGAAATGGTGAGCATTGCATTACAGGTGAAATCAGCCAATGACATGGTCTGTGAAAAATATTTAGAAATCTTCAGATATATAAATTAATGTTTTGTCATTGTTTGTCTCCTTTTCTATATTGCAAATATTTACTGATTAGATCTGTAATTACTTTGCATAGGTTAATCATTTGATTTACTAATTAAAATAAAACTAATGAAAAGGTTTTAGTTCTGTAGAAAAGAAATGTATGCACATTTTTGATATTTATCTCTCTGGCTTTTATCTTGTTCATCTTTTAGTCTTGCTTTTGCAACACAGGAGGTAAAAAGTGATAAAAGTCATCTATGTGTACCATCTGTTAAGTGATAAGGGAATGCTGCACTACACAGTAATATGTTACAAATATTCAAAGAAAGCAGTGCATGCAAAGATGTAGCAATTTGGCATATTTGCTAAGCGTGTATATGCTGTTCCGTGCTCACAGCATACAGGAAAACGTCACTTGCTTCAGGAATAAAGCCCAAAGTCTGAAAGCTGTTAATAGTAATAATCACTTCATTTATAATGAGTTCAAATTATCCAATGTGATCTGGAAATATACAAGGCAGTAAACTATTTGATCTCTACCCATGAATTTCAGTAGCATTCCATAGTTTTCTTCTTGATATTCCTTAATATTACATACCTGCTTTTCCTCCTATTTTGGATAGGTTCACTGTGCTTTCAAAGGTTACTTGATCTGTAGCTATTTTATTTTAGGATTTATAGAACAATGTTTTCAGCCATGCTTCTACATACCTGTTTATATTGAATACTGAGCATTACATTGTTATAACATTGTTAATAACGTCTTAACATAGATTTTCACTTTTCCAGTGGCTGCCTCAGACAAACCACAATTTACATGGACCACCATAAATGTGGGTCCTGAAGCAGCTATACAAATGAGCTCTGGTCAGAGACTCAGAGCTGCATGTCTGTGTTTGTATAAAAATGCAACCAGTTAGTTCAGTGAGATTTGAAGTGACACCCTGAGCAGAGTTTCACCCTTCTAATCCCGGTCACTTTGATGGATTTAGGTACCACTTTGGTGGGAAGGTAACAGCGTTCCGTGTGCCTTGGTGTTTAGTCATGCCGGCCACATGACCACGGAAACGTCTTCGGACAGCGCTGGCTCTTCGGCTTTGAAATGGAGATGAGCACCGCAATCCTAGAGTCGGACTCGACTGGCTTTCGAGCAAGGGAACATTTACCTTTGCCTAACTCTGTTTAGGACTGCATAGTTGGGAGAACAGTTCAGTGTGGCTGGGTTATAAATGCATGCATGTACATTGACCTTAGCAACATATGTGAAAGGGTGCTCTCACATATTCCTCTTCAGTGGTATATTAAGGCAGCTATTCATCTGTGGATTATTGGAGTAGGTAGACTTGGTTTCTTAAAAGAAAGGAGCACACATCAGCAATGCTAGCAGGCATATTGTTCAAATGAACAAACAAAAGTTAAACCAAACAGATTTTCTGTTCATTTCATCAGACAGCAAACTCTGGGGACACTGCCAAGGTTCACCCAAATGCAGCTCATTTGACTCAAAAGGGGGGGGGGTTTAAAAAAAACCCACCCCTGCCTATGTACCCCCTCTCCAATTCTATTCTACAGTATTCATTAGATAATAAAATGTACCTTGGCAAACATATTTTGCCATAAAATTCTATTTATGTTAAAAATTATTAGTGCTAACCAAGAGTGAATGAGGTAGTAGTGATATGTTTAGAACAGAAGATAAATTTCAATGGCTTTGATTTACTGTATCTGGTGCATTTTCATTACTGAGGCAATAACAAGCTTCTGTATTGTGCGCAAGTCATTATTTGTTAGTTATCTACTGCCTCCCTAGTGGATTTATTACTCAGATGAGGGCAATTCCTTCTAGCAACAATGGAAATTGTGTGTTGTAAATAGAAGCTTCCATGGCAGACTTGAAGGTCAAATCTGAATTTATGGTCCTAATCTATGCCATGTCCCTATTGCCTTTTGCAGACGTCTGAATGAGCCACCCTTGGAGAATGGGATGCTGCCATATCTTGGCTGTGCTTTGCAGTTTGGCTCCAATCCTCTCAAATTCCTCACTGCAAGACAAAAGAAATATGGCTCCATTTTCACTTGCAGATTGGCAGGAAAATATGTTCATTTCCTCACAGACCCTTTTTCCTATCACTCTGTGATGCAACAAGGAAGACATCTGGACTGGAAAAAGTTCCACTTCACAGCCTCGGCAAAGGTAGCAAATTCAGAAAATGAAAATATTTTCAGAAATAATAAAATGTGTTTTAGTATTTTTTAAAACGGAACAATGGAAATCCTAAAAACGTACCAGCAAATAACTAGCAATAGCTGGCATTACCAGTTAAGGTCATATAGACAATAATGTTGCACCTGGTACTGTAGACATGAAGGGTTATCAGGTTCAGTGGAATCAAGGTTAATTTCCCCATAATGTCTACAGCTCTACAAATCAATCTGTCTTCAAAAACTTAATGTTACATAGAAACAGATTTTGCTTACAGATCAAGATAGTTTCATTTAAGACCAGTAAATCACAGATTAATAGAGCATATACTGATATGTTGTGTAGTTCTCTTGAATTATAATGTTCACATTAGTTTTAAGAGCATTTTGCAATAAATTTATCAGAAACTTTTATGATGAATTTCCATAGGACTGCCAAGTACGCTCCAGGTTGTCATTTAGATGTCCATGCCTTACCCATTTTCTTCTATGAGACTGCTACTGTGAAAACTGGTATCTTTTGTATATCAACATGGGATGTCTCGCTCCATACACATAACATTGATAATTTCAGTTCATATCAGGACCAGGACACAAGTAGAGAGGGGTTAAGTCTTTTCATTGCAGCTTTTCCCAGTCTGAAATAGAAGCATGGAAGAAAATAGTAGAAAGAAAGAGGTGAAGAGGTTAGATCCCAGCCATAGGTTGTGATCAGCTTTCCTTAACATTTACCATATTTGATGACAGGCTTTTGGACATAAAAGTATTGACCCAAAGGATGGGAACACCACTGAAAATATGCATCAGACCTTCATGAAAACCCTGCAGGGTAAAGCACTGAACTTTCTCAGTGAAGCTATGATGGAAAACCTTTCCTATGTCATGCTGGAATCGACTGCCTCAAAAATGAACTCCAGTGATTGGGTAACAGATAAGCTTTACGAATTCTGTTGCCGTGTGATGTTTGAATCTGGGTTTTTAACACTTTTTGGTACAGAGATTAACACAAACAATGACAAGATCCATTCTAACCAAGAAGACCAAAAAACACTTATTTTAAACTCTCTAGAGAATTTTAAAGAATTTGACCAAATTTTTCCAGCTCTTGTGGCAGGGCTACCTATCTACATATTCAAAGGCGCCCACAGGGCACGCGAGAAGCTGGCCGAATCTCTACTCCATGAGAATCTGCAAAAAAGAGAGAACATTTCTGAACTCATTTCTCTCCGCATGTTCTTGAATGACACACTCTCCACTTTTGATGATAAGGAAAAAGCAAAGACCCATCTTGCAGTTCTATGGGCTTCACAAGCGAACACAATTCCTGCTACATTTTGGAGCTCATTCTACCTTATTAAGTAAGTAGCTACCCAAGCTATACTATAAGAAATATGACCTCTCTCTACATGAATTGTTTCTTATGGTAGTTGGACAAATTCTGCTCTTGGTTGATTGTGCACCATGTGGTAGCTTACCACAGTATGCATATTACTGTTTGGCAAACTGGTCTTCTGTGTTATCCTGACAAAAGATGAAAAGAATTGAACCATATTTCAGATTTTTCATCCAATTTATGGAAGAAACTCCTAAACTTCCTGAGACCATAATATGCAGGAATAATCCCATACAGCCTCTTTATATATGCTTTTAAAATGTATTTAGATAGGTATGTCCTGCTTTTGTCCCCAGTGAAGACGCAAACAATTTATAGTATCATTCTCCCCTTTTACTTTTTGACAATGAGGACTCTCAACAATACACTTGTTGGGCTTCTCAGATTCAGTCTAACCAATAAATATTAACATCCTTCTAGAACAGAATGCAACAATCCCTACATCTCAATTAATGTTTATGAGGCTTTCAGAAATGATAGTCAGTCATCTCAGTGAAAACTGACTGCACCTTTTAGATTATCTGCATTGCATACACTAGGTTGCACATCACTTAAAATATGTTTGTTTACCTCTTCTTCTTCTTCTTCTTCTTCTTCTTCTTCTTCTTCTTCTTCTTCTTCTTCTTCTTCTTCTTCTTCTTCTTCTTCTTCTTCTTATTATTATTATTATTATTATTATTATTATTATTATTATTATTATTATTATTATTATTATTTCAGGTGGGTCAGTATGTTGGTCTGAAGCAACAGAATAAAGTTTGAGTCCAGTGGCACCTTTAGGACCAACAAAGGCTCTTTCTGCAGTAGACCTTTAATCCTGATTCAACACTGTCTCCTACTAGCTATTCTGCACTACATTTGAGTTCACCTCTCTTTTTATACCGGGTTTTTGTCAATTCTGCATTACATTGCGGTCACCCCAGGTTCAGGCCACTGTTGCCCTGGGGTATATAGATCCTGTTTTGCCACAGGCTTTCCCTTGATTCGTAGTGACCCTGGTCCAGATTTAAGTGTAGAATTTTTAACTCTGTTTCGATCCTCCCCGCCCCTTTCCCGCCATACCTGGGACAAACACCCCTGTTTGCAATTCAGACTTTATAACCTGGGGCAGGCAAGCAAATTGGAGTGGGACAAATTAGTGCAGAAAACAACAGATAAACAGAGATAACTGCAAGGTAAATGGCCATGAGTTGAACACAGAGAAAACCTGGGGTGAGGTCCCAGTGTGGAAAGGGCCAAAGTTTAATTCTGGATATAAGTTTTTGTGTGCATGCACACTTCATCAGATACACTTCATCTTTGTTGGTCTTAAAGGTGCCACTGGACTCAAAAGAGAGCCAGTTTGGTGTAGTGGTTAAGTGCGTGGACTCTAATCTGGGAGAACAGGGTTTGATTTCCCACTCCTCCACTTGCACCTGGCTGGATGACCTTGGGCAAGCCATAACTCTGGCATAGCTGTTCTTGAAAAAGAGCAGTTTCTGTCAAGAGTTCTCTCAGCCCCACCTACCTCACAGGGTGTCTGTGGTGGGGAGGGGAAGGGAAAGGAGTTTGTAAGCCGCTCTGAGACACCTTTGGGTAGTGAAGGGCGGGGTATAAATCCAATCTCTTCTCTTCTTCTTCTTCTTCTTCTGCTAATAATAATATGCCTTCAAGTCTCAACCAACTCATAGCAACCCCTCATGGGGTTTTCAAGGTAAGAAGAGATGGAGTTTGCAATTGCATTCACCTACATAACAACACCCGACTTTCTTGGTGGTCTCCTATCCAAATGCTAACCATAGCCAACCCTGTTTAGCTCCCAAAATCAGATGAGATTGGGCTAATCTGGATCATTCAGGCTGTTTCCCCCACTGTGGTCCTCGTAAATATGACTTCAGTAGCTGTAGTGGGCAGGGGGCATTTCATCCTGAGGTGGAATACAGGGTTGTTACTTGATCATCAGGAGGCTTTGAATGCCATCTTTTCTTTCACAAAGCCTCCATGCTACTGCCTGATGATTAGACTACTGATAAAGTCTGCTACTCTCATCCACTTAACAACGGACTGTGACTAGCAACTACATATCTTCTCTTTCTGGTGCCCATGTATAAGCACTGGCTCATAGCCACTCTTTGCATTGTGACCAGCATGTCTGTTTCAGGAATCCAGAAGCAATGAAAGCGGCTGTGAAAGAGGTACAACGAGTGCTCAAAAATGCTGGTGAAAAAATGGGTTTGAATACGAAACGTGTTTCCTTGAGTCAAAAGCAGCTGGATGACATGCCTGTACTAGGTATGCTTGCTTTTGTTTTGTTTTGTTTGCTGTCACGTGACAGTTGTCTTATGGCCATGACCCCATGGTGCTTTCAAGGCAAAAGCTGCTCAGAAGTGGTTTGCCATTGCCTGCTTCTGCATCATGACCCTAATATTCTGTGGTGGTCTCCTTCCAAATACAGGGCTGACCCTGCCTAGCTTCCGAGATCTGATGAGATCAGACTAGCCTGGAATATCCAGATCAGGACTTGTTTAACATGTAATAAAGGACCTGGAACTTCCACCACTTTCCTGTACTACTCCACTAGCGATCAGTGAACAAACTGCTGATATCTGAGTGTGTGTAAAGTGCCATCAAGTTGCAGCTGACTTCTGATAACCCCAGCAAGGGCCTTTCAAGGGAAGTGAGAAGCAGGGGTGGTTTGCCAGTACCTTCCTCTGCAGAAACCTCCTCAGGGGGCTCCTGTCCAAGAACCAACCCGGCTTATCTTCCAAGATCTGTCAGGATTGGGCTATGCCATGCCTTCCCTCCCTGCTGATATTGAGGAGCCATTAAACATTAAGAAACATCAGTTGTATAATGTTCATGGCCACACCACAACATGTGTACTATGTTTCTATATAGCTATAATAGCATTTGGTGGTACAGAATAACATCCAAGGAATTTTATTCTTGTTATCAATCCGTTTTCAAAATGTATACTGTGTCTATGTTAAAGTCTATCTTTTTTACACAGATAGTATTATTAAAGAAGCAATAAGACTCTCCAGTGCATCCATGACAATCAGAGTGGCTAAGGAAGATTTCTCCTTGCAGCTAAGCACTGGCTCCTACAATATCCGCAAAGATGACATCATAGCCCTTTATCCTCAGCTGTTACATCTTGATCCAGAAATTTATTCAGATCCCTTGGTGAGTAATTGCCGTTTCAGGTAATCACTGCACAAATTAAAGAAGATGGTGTCTCTATCTACAGTAAAGCATTTGGTGTCAATACTGTTATTTTTGTGTAATTCACAGATTCTTTGCTTTTGGTAGACAAACTGCAGACTGATGAGAGCTTTCTCATGGAGTATTGGGGTGCAAAGAAAAAGAAATATGTAGCAATCAGATGCCAAGCAAGCTGTAACTTTAATTTAAAAAATAAGATTAAATAGTCTAAAAACATTTGTGTTGAAATAGGTATCTCCATACCTAAGGCTAAATTCACATGGTCAACTGAAGCTGCGATCACACACAATAAATAATTCACTTTCAATGCACTTTCAGATTGGATTTTGCCAGTTCACACAGTAAAAATCCAGTTGAAAAGTGGATTGAAAGTGGATTATTTAGTACGTGTGATCACAGCTTCAGTTGACCATGTGAATTTAGCCTTCTTTTCAACCCCTCTCCTGCTGATGGTGTACAAGTGAGAAAAATCAGAAAAGCAATTTTAAATGTATTTGTATATGTGTGAAACCTAGAAAATGTGCTTGAAATTAGGTTCCTGAATCAATTGGTAGCCATGCAGGAATGTTGATTTACAACTGAATTTCAAATTGAAATTTTCAACTTTACTGCATTTAACAATTAGGGTTGCCAGTCCCTCCTGGGAACCGGCGGGGGATGGGGGGACTTACTGGGAGCAGGAGGGAAGCCCAGCCTATGTCACTGCCCACATGACCCAGAAGTTATGTCATCATGTCAAGGATGTTGGGGCAACACTCTGGTATTTGGGCAAAATCTCTGTGGTAAATTTGGCTTCTACCACAGAGTTTTTGCCCAAATATCAGTGTTGCCCCGACATCCCCAACATGATGATATCACTTCCAGGTCACATGGGCAATGACAGACACATAGCTGCACATCGGCTATTTTTGGGGTATGTTCTTCCTGCCGGTCAGCTGATCAGTGGCAGCGTGGTGGGGCCTGGCAGTGGGGGACACTTGCCTCCACTGGGGGGCCTGGCAACTTTATTTACAATGTCTGGGATATTTCAGACTTTTGTTTTGTTTATATGATCTGTCAGGGTGCATGAACCCTGGCAGCAGCCCAAACAGGAACCCTGTGGCTGATCCTGCTTGCAAAAGATGGTTAAAGCCCCTCTGTTCTTGGTCCTTGCTCTAGAGCACATCTCATGTAGGTAGGCCTTCAGATACTTCCTAACAGCAATGGAGCACATATGGGGCTTTCAAAAAATAACCCATCAGCAGAGGAAGCTTTTCAAAGGACATTCTTAAGGAGATTCCTTGCTGAAGATGAGCAGGCATCCTCATCCAATGATCCAACACCTACGTTTTTCTTAAACTCCAGTTTCAAAAGGAAAGGATATGCAAATTTCTTCTCCCATTCTAGAATCTCTCTGGAGAATATTCAGTCCCCAAAGTCAGCTAGAACAAAAACAAAGAATGCACTGTTCTCTGTACTCATTTCTTCCATCAGCATCTGTGTGTCCCTCAAGTGCAAGGAGCCTTCCGCTGATACTTGATGTCCTCTGTTAATGCAAGAACATCTTGCAGAGATCTTTGGGCCAGCAGAACACACTGGTGCTGACAAAATGAAATCGCAGGATCCAACTTGTTAATTGGTAGGCAGCAAAAAAGCACTATGATTCCTGTAGTAAATACTGAGCATGTTTCTGTCCAGTATCAGAGGACATAAAATATCAATGGAACTCCCACTGAGGTCAACAGAAAGAGGTTGTTCTTGGGGTTTAGTAATAACAGAATAGGAAAGATCTTTCAGTTTAGATTAAGACCAAATTTCAGTTCCTTTTTAGTTATCAGAAAGATGTCAGCAGTGGTTTCGATCCCCCACAATGCAAAGGCAGGTGTGATCATGGAACAGAACTTTCCAATTACTCTCTTCCCAATAGATCCTGTCTGTGCATCAAACAGCAACATCCTCTAAAGTCTGTTAACATTTTTTGCCATAGGGCCCAGCTCTAACCCCCAATATTTATCAAACACCAAATCTGGAGCAATATTTTTATAATTCTGAAATTAATAATTCTGGTCATGTTACACATAATAATGTGAACTCTAATGCTGGCCTTAAACAACATTGCATTTATAATTACATTATTCTGGGCTTTGTTAACAGGCATTCAAGTATGACCGTTATCTTAGTGAAAATGGAGAAGAAAATACCATTTTTTATCGAAATGGTCAGAAGTTAAAATATTACTACATGCCATTTGGGACAGGACGCGCCAAATGCCCTGGAAGATTATTTGCAGTTCATGAAATTAAACAATTTTTGACTTTGTTCCTTTCCTGCTTTGAGGTGGAGCTTGTGGACAAGAATGTAAAATGCCCTTCTTTAGACCAGTCACGTGCTGGACTTGGAATTTTACAACCAACAACTGATGTTGATTTCAAGTACAGATTAAAGCCTCTTTGAATGTGTGCAACAAAATATTCACTCAGATGGTTATGCAGTGCACTAAGAATAATGAGAGTCTGAAGCAACTATTAATATCACTTAAGGAAAGGCTCTCCTTTGGAAATCTAATCATGGACCACGTTTTTACAGGCTCTCAGACAATAAGAGGTATAGTTCAATCCACTAAATATTCTAGTGCTACATCTACAGTAGAGCCCTTGAGTGGAGGGAAGTATTTATATATGTGTGCCTTGTGTACTGAAGAGGTTTGTGAGTATATAGCTTACAGTAGATCTCTGAGAGAGGATTACTTCTTCCCTGTCAGGTAGAAACCCTTCCTGTACTGCTGCCCTTTATGCCCTTGCAAACAGATCTTACAGACAAACATGAGATCAGGGGTTGGGAGTCAGGACTGAGACAGTTGTTTGCATAACACTCATGCTGGTTAATCATCACAGCAATAGTATGAAATATTTTTTCAGTAAACCCAGACATGGCTGCTGCCAGCTGAAAGCACTCTGAACAGCACTCTGCTTTATTGTAGCTCAAAATGTCAGCAGCCTTTCAAAGAGGATTTTTCCCAGCGGGAGTTTATAAATCGTATTGTTGCTAACTTTAGAGAATATTTGTGTGTGTGTGTCTGTGCGCATGCGTGTGCGCAAGCAGCTTTATTAAAATAATAAACTTGATCTCTTTGTAAATACCATCCCATAAATATTGTCAATAAAAATTAATTTTATCTTATGAAAGGAACTTTCCCTTTCTCAAACGAATGTGATTTTTGTAAATAGTCAGTTATCAGTCTGGATTCTCACTTGGTCCCACTGAGTAATGTCAAAAAGTTGCTGTTACTGTGCAACTTGAAGAATTTTACACAGGAACATTAAAAGACACCCTACAGTCATGAGTCTTTCAAATGCATTTAGGAAACTCAACATAAACTCAGGAGTACAAGCTTGCCTAAACTGTCTATTGGAGAATTATCCAAAGCATAAACGAAAGATATGTTTACAACAGTGTCCATGCATGTGCACATGTGTGCATACACACACACACAGAAACAGATTCCAATACATTACTAAAACTTCACAAAGCCACACATTAAAATACTGTTGTACTGATACAGTGGCTGCAGTTTAATGTTCAGGCATTATTGTGCTTGAATAATATTGAGGGCTACCACCTGATTGAAGTAATTTAGTTGATTAATCATAGGTGTTTTAATTGTTCACTGAGTAAATCTGCATATATTTGCATATAAATAAACAATTATGACAAAAATTGCACACTTTATATTAAGACTAATGAGTTGCATCAGGGTTCCAACTAAAAGGATGCCTTTCTTTTCCACAACAGGGATAGAAAAATATCTCTTCTCAAATGGTACCTGCCATTTTTGGTTTCTGTAAAAAAAAGCCTTTAAGAAATTGCATGTGAAGAAGCTTTTTCCTTCTTTCCTGGAGTGCTCAAGCAGTGGATTGGTGGATGGGGTATTTTTCTAATAATAATAATAATAGTCATAAATGGATCACTGGTTGTCTTTTTTTCCTTCTCTGAGCTGATAGGAGCTGAGTGGGAAGTGAGATTATATGCTGTAATACTTTTAGGTGACAGCAAAGAGACATCAAGACTAAGATCTCAACACCTGGATTCTCATCACTGATGCCTGGGTAGTGAGGTTGAACTCATATCATAAGAACATAAGAGAAGCCATGCTGGATCAGGCCAATGGCCCATCTAGTACAACACTGTGTATCAAACAGTGGCCAAAACCCAGGTGCCATCAGGAGGTCCACCAGTGGGGCTAGAACTCCAGAAGCCCTCTTACTGTTGCCCCCCAAGCACCGAGAATACAGAGCATCACTGCCCCAGACATAGTGTTCCATCTATACCTTGTAGCTAATAACCACTGATGGACCTCTGCTCCATATATTAATCCAATCCCCTCTTGAAGCTGTCTATGCTTGTAGCCGCCACAACTTCCTACGGCACTGAATTCCACGTGTTAATTACTTTTTAGCTGAAGAAGTACTTATCTATTCAAACCTACTGCTCATTAATTCCATTGAGTGCCCACAAGTTCTATGAGTTCTTGTATTGTCAGAAATAGAGAAAAGTACTTCCTTTTCTACCTTCTGTATCCCATACATAATTTGTAAACCTCTATCATGTCACCCTTCAAGTGTTGTTTCTCCAAGCTAAAGAGCCATAAACTCTTTAACCTTTCTTGATAGGGAAAGTGTTCCATCCCCTTAATCATTTTAGTTGCCCTTTCTGGCACCTCTCCCAATGCTATAGTATCTATTTTGAGGTGGCGGTGACTAGAACTATACCCAGTATTCCAAATGAGGCCACACCATAGATTTATACAGGGGCATTCAGATACTGGCTGATTTGTTTTCAATCCCCTTTCTAATAATCCCCCACATAGCATTTTTCTTTTTTATTGCAGTTGCAAACTGAGTCAACATGTTCAGTGAGTTATCTACCACAATTCCAAGGTCTCTCCTGTTCAGTTTCTACCAGTTTGGATACCATCAACCTATACTTATAGTTAGGATTTTTGGCTCCAGTGTGCATTACTTTGCACTTGGCTCATGTTGAACCTAATTTGTCATGTTGACAGATCCCTCTGGAGTGCCTTGCAATGCTCCCTGGTTCTCACAGCCCTGAACAACTTAGTATCATCCACAAATTTAGCCACTTCACTGCTTACTCCCAACTCCAAATCATTAATGAACAAGTTAAAAAGCACTGGACGTAGTACTGAGCCCTGTGGTACTCCACTGCTTGCCACCTTCCACTGTGAAAACAGCCCATTTATAATCACTCTCTGTTTCCTGTTAATTGACCAGTTTTTAATCCACAAGAGGACTTGTCCTCTTATTCCATGACTGCTGAGTTTACTTAGGAGGAACTTTGATGAAGTACATTATCAAAAGCTTTCTGGAAGTCTAGGTAAACAACATCTACTGGGTCATCCTTGTCCACATGTTTTTTCACCCCCTCAAAAAACTCTAAAAGGTTAGTGAGACAAGATCTTCCCTTACAGAATCCATGCTGATTCTTCCTCAATAGCTTTTGTTTATCAATGTGCCTGCTAATTCTACCTTTAATAACAGATTCCACCAACTTACCCAGTATTGGCATTAGACTGACTGTAATTTCCTGGATGTCCTCTAGAATCTTTTAATACAAGATTCTGGGGGTTTATTTATTTATTTATTTATTACATTTATACCCTGCCCTCCCAGCCATGGCCGGCTCAGGGCAGTTTACAACAACATAAAAGCAACAATAAATAGTATAATAATCATAAAACCATATAACAATCACAACATTAAAAGGTGCTAACAATAATAATCCAATTACCATTAAACAGATAACAGTTTAATATTACATTGTGGATGGCGCTCAGACTTCCGTGCCGTCCTAGTGGTCGATCCCAATCTGATATTGTACGGGTGGCTCAGGCTGCTTTAAGAATTTCAGGGGACAGGGCATTCTCCCCTGGGGCGGCTCCTAATTGAACACCTGGCAGAACAGCTTCGTCTTGCAGGCCCTGCAGAACTGCATAAGGTCCTGCATGGCCCTGATCTCCTCCGGGAGCTTGTTCCACCAGAGAGGAGCCGCCACCAAGAAAGCCCTGGCCCTGGTTGTAGCTAGCCTGACATCCTTTGGTCTGGGAAGGGTGAGTCGGTGTTGAGACCCTGATCGCAGTGCTCTCTGGGGAACATGTGGGGAAAGGCAGTCCCTCAGGTATGTAGGTCCCTGACCATAAAGGGCTTTAAAGGTAAGAACCAGCACCTCAAAGTGAATTCAGTATGCTATCAGTAGCCAGTGCAATGCCTTCAGCACAGGCTGAATGTGCTCCCGTATTGGGAGGCCCATCAACAGCCTGGCTGCAGCATTTTGCACCAGCTGTAGCTTCCAAACTTGCGATAAGGGCAGCCCCATGTAGAGAGCATTACAGTAATCCAACCTCGAGGTGACCATCGCATGGATCACCACTGCCAAGTCGTTGCATTCAGGGAAGGGAACCAGCTGTCTAATCATCCAAATATTATAAAAGGCCGACTTGACAATGACTGCTACCTGGGCCTCCATTGTTAAGGAGGCATCCAGGAGTACTCCCAAACTCCTAACCTCCTGCGCTGGCACCAATGGAGCCCCATCAAAGGTCGGGATCCCTGCCCTTGATCCGCCCCAACTGAGGCACATGACCTCCGTCTTTGTCAGGTTCAATTTCAACTAGCTCAGACTAAGCCAACCAGCCACATTTTGTAACACCTGTCAAGATCTTCCAGTTTGGAGTTGGACCAGCCACCCAGCAACAGATAGAGCTGGGTGTCATCAGCATACTGGTGACACCCCAGCCCATGTCTCCGTGCAATGTGGGCAAGGGGACACATGTAGATGTTAAATAATCTACCTTTCAGTCCTCAGGAATAGAGGCAGATTTTAATGAGAGACTGTGTATTTTTGTCAGTTCACATTTGAGTTCTTTTGGAACTCTTGGATATATGCCACCTGGGCCTGGTGACTTGTCGGTTTTTAACTTGTCCATCAGTCATAGGACCTTCTCTCTCATCACCTTCATCTGACTCAGGTCTTTTGATGCCCCTCCTGAAATTGGCAGTTCTGGAGTGGGCAAGCACCTCCCGTCTTCGATAGTGAAGACAGAGGCAAAAAAAGCATTCCGATTCTCTTCCATTTCCCTATCATCCTTTAGTAATCCTTTTACCCTTTGGTCATCCAAGGGCCCCATTGCCTCCCTGGCTGATTTTCTGCTTCTAATGTATTTGAATAAGTTTTTATTGTTGGTCTTTATGTTCGTTCTTTTTTTTTTTTTTGCAAGTCCAGGATTGCCCCCCCCCCGTAGGTTCTGTGACCATCTGCTCCATGGCACAGTCATTGAGAGTATCTAAAAACCCAATATCTTTCTCTTGACTTGAACACATATTGTTCTGATTAATAGGTGGGTCGTTAAAATCACCTATTATGAGATAGTTATTTCA